CTACTGCAGAGCTTCAAGTCTGCTTTCAGAGTGACCTTGAGTTATGGTAAAATTGTAAATCTGTTTTGTCTAAGGTAGTGTAACCTGAGGTGTCAGAGGAGTTGAGAACTTTAGCCATGTCAGAGCAAGTACAAAGGATCCCATTTTCTACCGGCTCCTGTGGGGGTAGTGCTATGTGTTTAACCGCTTTCCCACCGCCCTATAGCAGAAATACTGCTACAGTGCGGCAGAGGTGCGCAAAATATGTGATTTTGCATTTCCAGGCAGGGGGCGTGCCCACCCTACCCGTGCCACTACTCGTGGCCTTGGCTGTCAATCACTGGGTCCCGGACAGTCATTATTTGCCGGCACCCGTTGATCACCGAGTATTGCCGACGGGGGAGAGAACTGTATGTAAACAATACAGTTCTCTCCCCTGTCAGCTCCTGCACACTGCTTTGTACAGAGCCATACAAAGCAGTGTGCTTACAGTTGAAAGAACACACAGAGCTTACCGTGAAACAGCACACAGTTAACCCTTTGATCGTCCTGTATGTTAACCCCTTCCTGCTCAGTGCCTGTAGTACAGTCTCAGTGCTTTTTATTACCACTGATCACTTTATTGGTGTCACTGGGGATATAAGTGACACCAAGTCAGTTCCCCCCAGTGTCAGAATTCCCACCACAGACCCGCTATAAGTCGCTGATTGTGCCATTACTAGCAAAGAAAAAAAAAATCCAGTATAAATACCGCCATTTGTAAAAGCTATAACTTTCACATAAACCAATTCATTTACACGTATTGGAATTGTTTTTTAGCAAAGACATGTCGCAGAATACATTTTGGCAGACATTTATGCCAAAATTTTATTTTTTAAACATTTTTTACTGGACATGTTTAATATCAAAAAGTAAAAAAATAGTGTTTTTTTTTCTCAAAATTGTCGGTCTTTTTTTTTTTTATAGTGCAAAAAAAAAAAAACAGGTGATGAAATACCACCAAAAAAAAGCTCTATTCGTGGGAAAAAAAGGATGTAAATTTAATTTGAGTGCAGCGTTGCATGACTGTGCAATTGTAAGTTAAAGTAATGCAGTGCCATAATTCAAAAAATGGCCTGGTCAGGAAGGGGGGTAAATCCTCTGGAGGGCGAGTGGTTAATAGCATGAGAAATACTAGTGGCATGAATATGGTGCCAGAGGTTGAAAAATCCCGGAAATTACAGTGGTACCTAAGGTGACACTTATACTGCTATCTTCATTGAAGGCCTTTAAAAATCTACACGCTGTGATTGATTTTCTAAAGGAGCAGAGCATGTTCACTTTGCAAAGTGAATTTTCACTCAGCTATGAGAACATTCACTTTGAAAAAAATATCCAATCATATAAAGGAAACTATGTGAAAATTCACTTTGAAAAGTGAACATACTCTACTCCTTAAGTAAATCAATACAGCTTTTTTTGGTTCTTCTCCCATTTTATCATTGTAGCTGCCATTTTGCTGCCGATGTAATGACTAGAGAAAATAGAACTGTTTAACCTCCCTGGCGGTATGATTATTTCCGATTTTTGGTGCTGAAAGTGGTACCATTATTTTGCATGGAAATATGTAGTTTTTTTATTGTAGGCTGTAATTTTTAGGAATAACTCACTGAAATCTGTCCGAACAAGAGTCTAGTAAACATCCCGGGGAGGATAAAACTTGAAACACGAAATCATAAAATTATAATTTAATAAATAATCATAAAAAATAATAATATAATAATACATTTAATTCAATAATATAATCAAACCAAAAACATTGAAATTTGAAATACAGAGGCAAATTCGCACATCGCTGAGCAAAGTTGCAAAATCGTTTTCAGTGTCTGATGAGGAATTTCCCCCACGAATCATTATCACTCAATTCTGCAAGTGGTTCTGATTTACTATCGCTGTTCTCTAGCCGGTCTAAAACCGCTTTTGACCTAAAGGGACGCTTTTTGGACGCCATGGACTTTTCCCAGTTTCCAGGCAGAAAGAACAGACAAAATGCAGGCAGGGCGCTGGACAAAGCACTCGGGACAAAATATATGTGAAATGCATTGAAACAGCAATGTTTTACTATATAATAATCATTTTTTAAAAAAATTACATTTTTTAAAAATTTCAAATTTGCCGCCGGTTCTGGCGCCCGTACGTCCCGACGTCACAGGGACCGGAACACGGAAGCCGGATGCCGGCATCGGCCGGAGAGATGGCCGGGGACGCTGCAGGGGACACATCGTGGGAGCAAAGGACAAGGTAAGCTCTGCAGGGACTCCCTATGCAGCGCCTCATGGTAAGCCTGAGTGTAGCTCGGGGGGGTTACCGCTTTTGGTACTGAAACTTTACCCCGAGCTACACTCGGGAATACCGCCAGGGAGATTGATGAAATCATCATCTGTAAATGAAACATCTTTTCATCCATCTTCTATTTGTAGAGCAGGAATAGGTCTGCTTATGTTTGGAGAATTCTGATTATGTTCCTTTAGTTGCAGGGATCGACTGTGGATAGGCACACAAGTTTGAAAGAATCTAGTCTTGCTGTTGATCAGAATGACAAATCCTACTTAGTGGAGGTTAAATTCATCAGTAGGTAAATTTGAGGGGAACAGGTTAACTACGGGGGGGTTTCTTCAAACCCAACCCTCTGAATGAGTTAATTCATGGAGGATTCTTGATTCTTTTTTTTTTTTCCAAAAAAGATTTTTATTAGAAGAAAGCAGTCATAACAATACATGTACAGACGTGAATCCAAGGTCGGACATATCACTGTATGTCGCTACCCGTGTCACAGACGGGTCAAAGCATAACAGGCAATACAAAACATAATGTTGTAAAACATAGTGTCAACGTAATATTACAGTCCAGGAAATGTACGGCATATAAGAAATGCGCAGAGAGATATATTGTCTTTTGACCTTTGAGCAGTATTTTCTGTCAGGGGAGTATAAAGTGCATGATAAAGAATATGAACAGCACATGCTAAAGCTTTGGATCTGTTTTCACGAGTTTAACCATTTGACGCCCCGCCTATGGCCAAATGGCATCCGTAAAAATGTATTAGCTTTCCGGGAGGCCGCCATATGGCGTCCTCCCGCACATGCGCAGTTCGTGCGCTTGCAAAGCTGTGCAGCGGCGTGATCTGTCACCGGCCATGTACCTCGGACACGGCCGATGACAGATCTGAGTATCGGCCCCCGTTTCCGGTACCATGTGACCTGCTGTGACCAATCACAGCAGGCCACATGACAGTTGTATACAATGGATGGCTTCATTCATGCCATCCATTGTATACTAGTGTCTAGCTGTGAATGGTCACAGCAGGTCACATGCACATGTCATGTGATTAGCTGTGGCCAAATCACAGCTAAGCACAAAAAAAAAAAAAAAAAAACCTGAATGAATTGATGTCATTCAGGTAAATGCTTGCTTATAGCAAAGTAATTCTTTGCTATAAGCAAATTGTGTAAAAAAAAAAAAATACTGATCACTTCCCCAAAGTAGTACAATGTTACTATGGTGACATTGTACTACTTTGGACATAGTGAAATATGAAAAAAAAAAATCTTAAAAAAAAAAAAAAAAATGTAATAAAAAATGTAAAATAAAATAAAAAAACACAAATATATATATATTTATTTTTTTCACACTGTCACCAGTCAGTGTCCCTGTTCACCGCTATGCCAGTTATATGATGACCCTGTACTGCACTGGTGACAGTATGTAAAAAAAAATAGTGAAAATATTTTTTTTATTTTTTCATTTTCTGAAAAATTATGACAAAAAAATTACAACTTCAAAAAACTCGCCCTACCTCTTATGAAGTACGTCGGACTGTCTACTCTGCAAAAAGTGGTCATTTGGGGGATATCTGTACTATTCTGACATTTGGGGGATATCTGTACTGTTCTGACATTTGGGGGATATCTGTACTGTTCTGACATTTGGGGGATATCTGTACTGTCCTGACATTTGGGGATATCTGTACTGTTCTGACATTTGGGGGATATCTGTACTGTCCTGACATTTGGGGGATATCTGTACTGTCCTGACATTTGGGGGATATCTGTACTGTTCTGACATTCTTGGACCTCAAGAAATTAGATTGGCTGTCAGTACTTCAGGATTGATCAATATTCAGATCTATACCATAGTTTGTGAACTCTATAACTTTCCTACAAACTAAATAATACATCCTAATTTGGGTTATTTTCACCAAAGACATGTAGCAGGTTTCTAAGGGTAACTTCTTACTACCTACTGAACTAAATAATATCCCATTAATTTGGGTTATTTTCACCAAAGACATGTAGCAGGTTCTAAGGGAGTACTGGCTTCTTACTACCTCTCTGAGGTCTTTTATATTATTGACCACATGAAGAGGGGCTTCCATATTTCATTTTTCATACATTTATATTGGCACGTTTGACCAGTCTCACTGTCAGTTGAGGGATTCATTGGGTAATTATCAGTATAGGATTAATCTCTGGACTTTTAATATTGCAACACAAAAACCTGCACAATTTGTTAGCCACAGATATACTTTCCATTCTGATAGTCCTGATAGACTATTTTAAACTTATTATGCCTAATTTGGTTCTGTGTATAACGATCAACCTCAGTGGCAATGATCTGCAATAGTGATGAATGAACTGAACACCAACTGAAAAAAAAAAAGTAAACCCCACTTAAGTCTTTTGGAGTCAAATCTTGTCATTTCTTTCTCTCCTGGCAAATTTACCAGCATATGTAGCTGACATTGTCATGGGGGACAGGTAACAAGGCAAAACAATACTGTGGACAGAAGGCCATTTAATGCAGCTTAGAGAAACACCAAAAAAAATACTGAAAATCTACACATCCTTTAACCACCTTCCGCCCACCCTATAGTACAATGATGGGCGCAAGGTGGTTCTCTCGTTCTGATAGGACGTCATATGACGTCTTCCATTCGCACCGCGCATGTGCGGCTCGGGGAGCACGCAGCGCAGCGATCGCTGGTGCGCTGTGTCCCTCGGACACAGCAGATCACGGAAGGAGCTGAAGATGTCAGCTCGGTCATGTGATCAGCTGTGTCCAATCACAGCTGATCACATGTAAACACGAAAATGCCGGTTATCAGCATTTCTCTCCTCTCAAGTTGTCACGCTGACAGAGGAGAGGAGAGCCGGTAATCGGCTTTCCGCGGAGGGGATATGTGCCCTGATGATCAGTGTAGTCCCAGCAGTGCCACCTGTCAGTGTCCATCAGTGCCAGCAGTCAGTGCTCATCAGTGCCACGTGCCAGTGCCCATCAGTGCCACATCAATGCCACATATTAGTGTATACCAGTGCAGATCAATGCCACATATCAGTGCCCATCTGAGCTGCCTTTCAATGTCACCCATCAGTGCCAGTCAGTGCCACCTATCAATGCCAATCAGTTCCACCTATCAGTGCCAGTTAGTGTCACCTATCAGTGCCAGTCAGTGTCACCTATCAGTGCGCATCAGTGCTGCCTATCAGTGCCAGTCAGTGCCGCCTAACAGTGCCAGTCAGTGCCGCCTAACAGTGTCGCCTATCAGTGTCATGTATCAGTGCTGCCTTTCAGTGCCTATCAGTGATGCCTGTCAATGCCCATCAGTGCAACCTACCAGTGTCTCCTCATCAGT